ACTAAAATTGACGAGGCCTCTGAAAATGTAATTCCTTATTTGGAAACTGACTGTTCCCTTTCCTGCTCTGAGAACAGTTGCCTCCTGGCTGCTGGAGAGTGGCAAGGGTTTGGTCTCTGCTCCTTGACCAAGGGATGAATTCACACCTCCCAGCAGCACACTGCAGAATGGGTGGGCCGCCATGTTGGGAGGCTCAACACAGAAAGGAAGGCAGCTTTTTTCCTTCTCCCCCAGAGCTTTGATGCAGACAGGAACAGATGGGGAGGCTCACCCCCCTTCTTCTCTTGCTGTGCTGCCAGGGACAGGAAATGCCTATAGGATGAATGGCATAGCCAGAAATTCTGCCCAGCTCCCTCTAGACAAGGGCAACTTTTCCAGGTGGATTCCAACCAAGAGGTCTTTTGCAGCCACTGCCCAGTTGTTTGGAGGGCTTTAAGGTCCATCAGTGCTGAGTGGGTGTGGGAAAGGTACAGCTGCCCCATCTATTACCTGCTCTGAATGCAACTGCTCAGCAGAACCTGGGATGCGTGAAGCCAGTTTTCCCCCAGTTTAATGAGGATCCATGTTTAATTTCCACAGCAAACAAAGCACGGGGGGGGGGGGGTGAGGAGGTTTTTCAATGGAGACCCTATGGCTGCCTGAACTAAATAAGAAGACACAAAATGACAGGTATTCCCATCACACCAAGCCACCTGGACCACCTCCAGCCTGTGACAGGAAGCCAAGGTGCTTTTTTCCATTCCTTCTCCTGTCACAAAAGCCATGGCACCCAGCTCCACCCGGCAAACTCCCAACCTGTTCTTGCAAACCGTTCATTGGGAAGTGAGGATTTTTAATAATAAAGAAAACAAAATGGGTCTAATCTACTGAGAGATATTCCCAAACTTACATGTTCTCCTGGAACAAATAGTCAGTTTTTTTGTTCTATAGGAGCCCATTTCATACGGAACAAACCATTAAGCTTCTGTGCTTTGATGCACCAATATATTAAATATCCAAAAGGTTTTTCATGCATTAAGGGATTCAATTTCTTTTCTTAATATCACCTAACCTCAGTAGCATTATTATTCACTTTCTGGAACTGCTTCAGTATAATACTTTGCAACAAAGAAGCAGTTAGGGTTCTTGTTTTTTAATCATGGCTTCCAAAAAGGGATGAGGCTGTAGAAGATTCTCTTTCGGAATGAAGGTTGTTCAATTTGGTAGTCTCAAAAACCAAACCAGCCCCAACACCTTCCACGCCACTGGCACTGAAAACTATCATTGCATCTCACATGAAGTTATTAGTCTGGCTGTGAAAAATCAAAAGGTCTCAGCTCAGATTGTGTCTTCTTTTTCCCCTGCCTTTCGCACAGTCAAAATGCAAATGAAGGCAAATCAGACGCTGGCATGGATGGCAGCGACAAGGAGAAAGATCTGGGTAGTATTCTGGAAAAACAGGAGAGCCCTGGCTTTAATTAAAAAGTTTTGGGATGATTAATCACCCATTTTCAGGTACCTGGACATGTCCCTAGAAGGAATAAATAGGAATAAGTAAATGCTTTCTGCATCTTGCCCTCTGTCTCCGACTGAACCAAAGGGAGAGACACTTGCTCAGCAGGAGAGAATAAGCTGATGCCAGAACCTATGAAGCCGGAGGAGAGCCAGTCACCCCCGAAATGCCGCCGCCGCCGCCGCGGCTGCACGATGGGGCTGGAGGCTCCTGCACCAAACAGATGGCAGAAGCTGCCGCTGCCCGTTCTTTTATGCAGCGCAGATCGATTACTCTACATCGGATTGTAATTTCATCCAAGGCAACCTCCCATCGCCTTCTCATTTCAACAGCTTCATTAGTTTAGCCCCAGTTTTGACACACAAGATCGCTGCTCCTGATCTGAAGCTGAAGCTTCTGAAGGAATTGCATTTTCCACCTACCCCCTAAGGCTCTCCCTCCGTCTCGACCTCATCTCTATCAAGCTGCTGGGTTGGATTTATGGAAGCACCTCCAGATTTTAAAGGCCCGCCGGGCTAGGGAATATTTGTTTCCTGGGTTTCAAAGATGGTTCTCCATCTACTTTGAGAACTGGAGACAAGAGAACAAAGCTCTAAAAGTAACGCGCTCCGCGTTAAGCCTTGAACATTCTCGCTTGGAGCACAGGCAAAAACGCTGCGCTAGAGCCTAGCCGACATTCATGTAATTAAGAACGTTTCTGCGGCGATGGGCTGAGGGAGGAGGGTGGGATTCATTTTAATTTCCTATTGAATGATTTCAGGGCTCTAACGGTGCGACTGCCAGCTGGGATTCGGAGGAGAGCTGCCAGCTCAGTCCCGGCAGAGGCCGGGAGGCAAATGGTCCCGCAGCACTCCTTGCCTCTTCAGAAGAGGCTTCCTGAACCCACCGTGGGCGGCAGGACAAAGGGGCGGCGGCCAACCGGGTCTCAAGGGAGGCCGCCATCCCTTCGTCAGAGGGGCAGAGGGGACGCTGTCAGCCGACCGGCCGGGAGCAACCTCAGTGGCAAGCCTGGGCGCGCTTAGCCGCTGCCCCTACCGAGCCGGGGAGGGCAGAGGGATCGCAAGCTGCTCCGGCCTCTTCTGGAGGGAAGGACGGCCAGGACAGGGAAACAGCTCCCGCAGAAACTCCTGAAGTTCCCGCCCTCGACGGGGCGCCCCGCCGCCGCCTACCTGGGCTGGTCCAGGAGTTGAGCAGCAGGAGGCAAGAAGTGACCAGCCACATGCCATCCAGGGGGGCCGGTGCCGCGGGCGGGCGGGCGCCCTGCCTCTGCCCGTGTCCCCGGCCGGCCCTCGCCAGCTTCCCCCGTCGTCGGATACTCCGCGCTCCGCACCGCCAGCCCGCCCGCCCGCCAGCCTCGCGCTACGCTCAGCCGCTCCGACTGTCAGCCGGCGAGCGAAGGAACGAAGGAACGAACGCGCGGGCGAGCGGGCGGGCGGCGAAGGAGGAGGAGCGGGCGGCCTCCCACATCCCCGCCCACCAGCCGGGAGGGGGAGAAGGGACGCCTCCGCCCCCAGCCCTGGGCAGGTGCCCCGCTAAGGCGGGCGGGCCGCCGCGTGCCTATCTCCCACCTCGCAGGGATCTGTGTGGCCCGCCCGGGAACCCGCCCTCCCCTCAGCCCGGCCGGTTCCCCGTCGAAGCCCCCGGGCGCCGCTTTGGGTGCCCCGTTTACCTCTGGCAGCTGGGAGCGGCCTCCTCTCCGTTGGCCTCGCCTTTCCGAGGAAGGAGGCAGTGGAAAAGGAGCGCTCCCAAGAGCGGCGGCGGCGGCGGGCTGTTCTCGCTCCCGGCCGAACCTGGGCCGGGCAGGCGGTTCCGACGCCGTGCAGCTGGTTTCCCCTTAGTGTAGCCGGTAAGGGAGGAACTGCCGGCGTCTCCTCTCCGCGGCGGACAAAAGTTTTGCGGACCCGTCGGGGACTTGGCAGCCGGCCCTCCGGCGGCGTTGGGTCCCCTCGAAAGGCCCAAGGCAAGCGACCCCGGAACTACTGGCTTGCCCTGCCCGGCAGGTGCGGGACCCGAGCCCTTCACGTATCGAATTCGAATCCCCGGCCAACCAAGGTGCCAAGGGGAAGGCCCTCCGGAGGACCACTGGCTTCCCGCTGGTCGCGCCACAGCTTCATCCCCACTACAATCTCCGCTCGTCTGTTGGAGGGCCGCGCCCCGCGCCTGAGACACAAGGGGACCTTTCGGCAGACGGGGACGCGGCCTCCGCCTGAGGAAACGGACCAGGAGCTCCCCTCCCGTGGTGGTCAGACGGGGCCGCCGGTGTGCCCCGGAGGGCCGAGGACCGACCCTCCCGCGCTACGCCTCAACATTCGGCGGCTCCCCCCGCCCCTCCCTCTTTCCAGTGACCTCCTCTCAGGCGGCCCCGACGGACCCCGCTCTTCCTGCTCTCCAGCCGCGCCGGCCGAGCCTGCCGAGCTCGCCCCCCCGCCGGCCAGTCCTGGGTGGGTTGAGCGAGCAGAGCGAACGGCCCAAGTCTGAATTAGGCAGGGTCGGCGAAGCCTTGACTTCCTGATGCGTTCCTCCCAGGCCGCCTCCCCTCTCTCCTGGACAGCAGGAAGCCTCCCTTGAGAAGATTCCCCTGGAGCGGGAGAGGTTTCTGGGGGGTTTCTGGGGTCTGCATAGTCAGGAGAGGAAGGGCGAGCCAGACTCAGCTCTACTTGCTTGCTCTGTGGAGATGTGATCCCAAAGCCAGCTGATACAGTGGGGAGGAGCCTCGTCTCTTTTGTGAACAAGACTTACAAAAACTTGGGAACTGTTTTGTTCAGGAAAAACTGTCCTGTCTCACAACATGCAAGAAGAGATGCCAAAGATCCCATCCCTACAACAATTGGGGGTAGGGAAAACAGGGGCCTGAACGTAGCATTTCTCTATGATGGACAGCCCCATGCTTTCCGATAACGCCCCCTACTGCCTGCCAGGTTTGCCTAGCCTCTGCCCTTTTAGCCTTCCACAAATTAGCAAAAACCATTACATTTCTGCAGAGATTTAGAGTTCAATAGGATGGTGACTTATGTGGGCAACCATTTTTGTTTTCATTTCTGTTTTTGTTCTGGTAGAACCCTGTTGTTTCTACATGTTGTTTCTTATGTTTTATGTTACATTTTATGTAACTTGCCTGGAATCAAAATGGAACTGAACAGCACAAAAGTACTGTAAATAAAGAGCAAGCAAGCAATACCAAGGGGCTGGAGAATGGCTGGTGTTTTCTTTCGTTGGGGGGTATAGAACCTTTGACCGTGGTGTAGCCTTTCCATGCCTCCCCCCAGCAGGGGATTCTGCAGTCAGATCCTTTGACTGAGAAGGCCCAGGTCTAGTCACACACACCCCATAGCCATCCCTGTGATGAGGGATGCACCTTTGTGTCTTAAATTCTTTGGGAGCTTATTTGCCACACTGCCTCTCTCTGAGTTGCCCCCCCCCCCCGTCTGCATACAGGACGACTGTCATTCACCCATAGTCAGCAGAAGGGCCCTTACTCTGCTCTTCATTGCTGTCAGATTAAACTTACTCTTGGGAAGGTGAGGTTCTTTTTTGTCTTCCTCAGAAACCTGCCTTCCTTTCCCTAAAATTAGATATTCAAAAAGTGTTATCCTTCTAACCCCTCGCCATCTTCTCTCCTCAGAGATGACCATGCCTTCTCTTGATCTTCTGCGTTGCTCTTCTTCAAAGCCTCAACCCCTTTGTTCTTCTCAGTTTCCTCTGTCCAATCTTCTCTGGCCTGGAAGGATGCAGGAAATAACCCAGAAAATGTTTCTTTTCGGGGCTATGATAAAATAATAGGAAAAAACTTTTTACTGGAATATATAGCCCATTTTGCTATGATAAAATCAAACAAAAGGCAAGCAAAGGCAAAAATAAAAACCACACAAAATCAAAGTTAAGTCTAACCAAAAACAGGCAAAAAAATTTTTAACAGCATTAAAACTGTTTCATGAAATTCAAATAAGCTACTTCAAACTATCAGAGGCCCTTAATTTTTTGAAACCAAGTTAAAGGAAGTCTTAGGAGCCTTTTGGAAGTGGGCAGGAGAATAGAAGGGTATGCAGTGCAAAATGTAAAATATGGGCCACAGGTGATGGTCAGTTGCTCCCCTGCCATTCTGCCAAGATATTAATTTGAGCCTGGCTTCTTTGAGGGAGAAACTGTATCCTATGGGAGGCTGCATGTTCCTCCAGGGAGGAACTAGCCATGGAACGATCCCCATGACCTCAGTCTTTGCCCTCAACCAGGTAGGCAATCTTTTGCAGATCACATTTGTCACTTGCCCAGCTGGAAGACTGCTGTGTTCTCCCTTTGCCATGTGGTTGTCTTTGCTGTCCTTAATAAACTCATCTTTGATTTACTATAATTGGACACAAACGTTCTGTGGTTAACAGGAGACCAGCAGAGATAAGCTGGTCAATTCTGGGCTAATGACTCCCTGGAGGTGATGATCTTTTTTCTTCTCCTGATGTGTGAGGTTTCCAGGCAGGTCATTGCCAGTAATCCCCTCAGAGTAATGTCAGGCGGTGATGGAGGTCACCAGACACTGGGACTTGAGATCTGCTCCTTGGGCTACCTTTCTCATTACCTTACAGGTCCTGAAGTGTGGTGTGGTGGCTCACTGCTTAAGACACTGGGCTTCAAGGTTCAAGACCCAAGCACCGTGTGATGGGGTGAGCTCCCATCCTCGCCCGAGCTCCTGCTAACCTAGCAATTTGAAAACATGCAAATGGGAGTAGATAAATAGGTACCACTTTGGAGGGAAGGTAACAGTGTTCCATGATGTCATGCTGGCCCCATAAATGCAAAAATATCTTTGGACAGTGCTGGCTCAACAGTTTCAAAATGGAGATGAGCACTGTCCCCTAAAGGCAATGACTAACAGATTAAAATCTGCAGGAACTGCTTTACCTACCTGAAGGTACCACATGTGGAGAAATTAGGCACATCTCTGAGAGCTTCCCTGATCAAATTTCTCAGTGTGCAGGCTTGCAATTTGAGTTGCCCAAAGCCACCCAGAATTCAGAAATGGTGGGTGTAGCCCAGCAAGCCCTCAAAGCAAGCTGGAGAAGGAAAAAGCAAAGACTGCCTGGGGGGGGGGGCACAGGAGGAAGACTAAATGCAACCAGATGAAAGATGAAAGGGTGGAGAAATGATATTGTAGATTCAAAGGGATCAAGAGACATATGGGGGGGGCAGAGATGATAGCCCAGCTGACCAAAGGCAACAGGGAAAGGAACAGATCAGAGAGAGAAGGTTCTGTGAACCCAGTAGAATTCACAACTCATAATTTATTCTCAGGTTCACCTTAGCCCCCAGAAGAGATCCTCAAATCTCCTTTTACGGTCTAAGAAGAGATCTACCCCTCCCAAAGCACAAAACATAGGTCCCTTATGAGTTCCCCCAAACTACTGCTTAATCACAGATGTCCATTTCATGTATAGAGGGCACCCGTAATTGATGGTTACAGAGATTCATGGAAATCATTATGATGGGTCAATTTTTGGTGAAATGGTTATGGTGGTAACTGCAAGAACTGATTTCTCTTGAGTGCACTGCAGACCCAGGAGCAAGCTTTACTCTGATGATGCTTGGAGGGAGGGTCCTGGATCCAACTGTGGAGTTTCAAGAGCCCTTGAACTCTGATTTATTAGTTCATCTGGCCCTGTTGCCCAGGCACTATTTTGGTGGTGCCAGTTCTGTTCCATCCACAGTTGTACAGATTAATCCTGTGCCACATTTGTTCTTGGTCCTGAACTTTTTTGAGGGCTTCAGATTTTGAGGGCTTCAGAGGTCATGGCACCAAGACTCACGCATGCTGGTTGGTCCACATAGTCAGATAAGAAAAGCTTGGTATTCCTCAGCTGAAGGCCTTTCATCAGTAGTTATGTCACATGGATGGCATGGGGTATTGGGGTATGTGTCATTTTCAGCACAAGTTGTTGACTTTGTATTCTAATGTCTTGAACTGGCTACAACTCACAATAGTTCATTTAGTGATTGTTCAAAATTACAACAGCACCCAAAAATAGACATGACCATTTTTCACACTTACAACCATTACAGCATCCCCATGGTTATGTGTTTAAAATTCAGATGCTTGGCAATTGACTTGTATTTATGACGATTGCAGTGTCCTGGATTTTTGCGACCTTCTGACAAGCAAAGTCAATGGGGAAGCCAGATTTACTTAACAACTATGTTGCTAAGTTAACTGCAGTCAACAACTGTAGCAAGGAAGATTGCAAAATGGGGCAAAATTTACTTAACAACTCTTGCTTAGCAACAGAAATTTTGGGCTCAATTGTGGTTGTAAGTCAAGGACTACCTGTATTTTCTTATTTTAATATTGCTCTGTATTTGTACGTGCTTTTCAATTTTTCTGCATATGACCAGAAAACCTGTTAGGGGCTACACAGATATTATAGATAAATAAATATCTATTCACCCTTCACTGAGATCCCAGTCTAGATAGGGAAGCCATTCCTGCTATTGACTGCAACTCTTTTTTAAAATCAAAATAGTGTTCATGAATAGAGCCCTGCCTGGCCCAGAAATTTAGGAACCCCAGATCTCCTTCCTCTAAGCATGGATGGGCTCCTCTATCTGTGGACCTTTCCAGTCCCTGTTCTTCGACTGCCTCCCCGTTCTGGGCCTGGATTAATTCCCAGATTAAGACCCTGTGGGAAGCAGCCCCTCAGGTTGGGCTCATTCGGAGGAGCCATGCCGGAAGGGCCCTTCCTAGGCCAGAGAGTTCACCAGCATTCATCGGGGTGTCTACAATATTTTCTTTCTCCTGGAGAGCTTGATCTCCCCTCTCTTAGGCTCAGAGACTTATAAGCCCTGCAGGGTGCTCTTTGCTAAGTTTTTCACAGGGTCTGGTCAGCTCATTTGATTCCCTAGAGATGATTGTCCCCAAATTAGATACATCTCGGTTCCAGGGGTGTTTTATGGAAAGGGAATATTGTCCTTGCAAAAAGGCCTGGAATGACCAAGAAGGCAAAATCTGTTCTCTGGCGTCATGGGGAAAGTATCTGAGAGTAAATTCCCATCTGCCTGTGCTTCCTCTTTCCAGATTTTGCCAGAAGAAGGAAGGGGGTTATGGCTAAGCCTTTGCTGAGTTACCTTGCAGGTGTCCAATTGCAATAGTTTACCTGGACACAACCTGCTGAATGGCTTTGGGTAAACACAGAGGAAATATAACTCCCAGTGAGGCTCACTGGTAGTGATGGTGTCTTATTCTTCCATCTGTGCCTGACACAGAATCCCACTGAGTTCTTGATGTGGAATAAATTACTACCAGTAAAGCACTTTTTAGTGTGGGAGGGGGAGACAAGGTGTTGGCCCTCCACAATATATATGTCTCTAGATATAATCCCCCTCCCCTGAGATTTACAGCTCAAACACTCCACAGAGGCTGGGGGCAGATGGTCTCTCTTCACGAGGGCAGGGATTAATTATTTTCTTCCAAGACAAACACAAAGCTGCATTTAATTTTCAGAGGCAGAAATAATATGATTGAAATTGATTTTTGTTGTGTGTGTGCCAGTCTCATAGATGACAATGTTCAAATTTCTCCCAATGGTTGGTACACCAAACAATGGGGAGCTGATAATATGCAAGAGTACAACTCTGAACAACTTTCCCATGCAGGGGTCTCCTGGGCTTCATCTCACTGTGAAATGCAGGTAGTGTAGCAATTTGTCCATTTCAGGAGAAATACTACCCAGGTTAGTTTATTACTTGGTAAAGATTATGTGCTCCACCATCCCTGAGGTGGCACAAAAATAGACTAGCAATAAAAGTTGGCATCTCCATTGCCAATCTCTATTTTGCCTCTGTTGCCTCTTTCTGAATCTTGTCCTAACTTGTGATGCACCAATGGTTGGCTCTCTCCCTTTGCTTTGCTACTGCCCTTCCCCCCCCCCGTAAAGAAGACACCCACTGGTCAGGATAGGGGGGAGGAGGGGGGAGGGGGACACCTTGGGACCCTGCCTGGGCTTCTCTAGGCTGCTTGCCTGCCTCTCTGGCCACACACCCTAAAGTCCACCAGCTAGGTCCTGGAGAGCAGGAGAATTGCAGCTGACCAGCTGTGGGCACCCCAATCTTTAGGGGTGTGGGAAGAATGGATTGAAACCAGCAGATACCAGGGACCCTGGCAGTCAAGCAGCACCCCAGCAGCACCCTCCTGCTTGCTTTCTGAACCCGGCAACATGCAAAGGCAGAGCCTCTGCGTGGAAAAACGAAGATACGTCTCCAGGACTGCAGAAGCAAAATGACTCCAATATAGTCCCTTTTCTTCCCCAGTGAATAGTGGAGCTCTATTGCCCTCTCCTCTGGGGAGTTGGGGCCTAAAATAGGGTGGGGAAGGGGTTGGAAAGGAACTCCGGAACCAAGGACTGGTGGAAAAAGAGAAGACCAATAGATAATGATTCTACACCTTGAATCTGTGCTGGGGTAAAATTGTTTTAAAAGGTAAAGGAAATGTTACTTGTTTAGTAGTGCAGCTATAGTCCACCACTTTGAGATTTCCTGGTGGTCTCCTATTCAAATATTAATATAGCCTGACTCTGCTTAAGCTTCTTGAGATCATCCTGGTGAAGCAATGGTTAGGATACAGTATTGCAGGCATACTTTGCCGACTGCCAGCAGTTTGATCCTGATGGGGCTCAAGGTTTGTTCTTGATGGGGCTCATGTCGTTAAAATGAGGACCCAGATGGTTGTGGGCAACATGCTGACATTGTAAACTGCCCAGAGAGTGCTATAAAGCATTATGAAGCGGTAAGTGCTATTGCTATCACCCAAGTCAAGCTAGGTACTATTGATTTTAAGAAATTTTAAAGGCAGCTTTTATGAACATCTCCCCTGTTGAAGTGTTCCAGAGAAATCAAAAGCTCACCCACTCTTTGTGCCATTTTGGAAGTCCCTAACCAAGATACAGATCCTGTTACAGGCCACCAACACAATTCTTCTGCCTGTCTTTTATAAAACAAATTATGAACCTACACTGACCTCTAGTGGATCTCTTTGAAGTGCAGTTCTTCACTTTGTATACAAGAGGGCCACTCAACCAATGTCCTCCGTTTCAACAGCGGTACCTGTCTTATCAGAAAGGTTGCATGCCCCCCCAATTAAAAAACAATCATTGTTGCAAAAGCTGATGCACACGAGGGAAGACTGTGGCCTTCTTTTTTCTTTACAAAGTATTGGTGTTTGGTTCTCCTTTCGTTTAGGAATAGTGAGAAGAGAAGGAACATTGCAAAGGAATGTGGGGAGTCTGGTCCCCAGCCCGCTTCCCAGAGCTTGTATGTTCCTGTCCCGCTTAGTCTCACTTGGAGCAGTCAAATGTGCTACGTGTGAACAGAGTGGGTGCCCTATTGGCCAACAACTGGTTCATGGCTAGGGAGCATTGGGTTCGACTGAGAGCTAGGAGAAAGGGGAGCTCACTGGCCTTCACCATCCCCACATTCAGCACTTGGGAGCAGGCCTGGTCAGGAAACAGAAACCCCAATAACAAAGAATGTCAACCTACTGGAAGAGTTTCTCCCTCCTGCCCTCTTGATGAAGACAGAGCAAGTTGAGTTTTGCCTGAGAAGCCCAGCTAGGTCCCAAAGTTCCACCCTCCCTCTTCCTGCCATCTCCTCACTAGGAGGTGTTTCCTTTATCAATGGGGGTATATGGGGGGCACAAAAGCTACCAAAGAAAGCCAACTATGGACATGCTCACAAATCAGGACCAGTTCATGGACTCAGAAAGAGGCAAAGGGACAGGACAGAGATTGGCAATAGGGACACCAATTTTACGCAGGTCTATTTTTGTGCCAACTCAAGAATGGCAAAGGAGAGCACCTGGACTCAGTTGTGGAGAAAGGCCAAAGGAAAGAGATGGCTAGCAGGGACTCTGGCTGAGCTCACATCCTAGGTCTTCCTTGTGACTGCCAATGAAATCAGCCTGCCCCTTTAAGATTGCATCAAAGGCCTCAGCTCAGGTCTGGGGCTCAGGCTTAAGGAAGATGCAGATACCTTCTGGCCCGGGAGGAGTGGCAGCATACAGAATGCTGGTGCCCACAGTTCACTCCCTCACCCCCTCCCGCCTTCTTCGGGCCGCTTGCCGCCCCTTTCGGCCTTCTCCTTTCATCGATCGAAGGAAAGACAGTCCGGCCGTCCTCAGCCCTGAACTCTGCTCTTGAGCCGCAGAGGAGAACATCTTCCTGCCCCCCTGCCTCCCCCCCCCCACACACACACCCGCCGCCGGCCTCTTTTGGTTGGCAGCTCTGTCCCCAGACCAAGCGCAGCTAAGGCACGAAAAGCCCCCGTTTTTATCAGAGAGCACGCTCCAGTCGCAAAAACGTCGCAGCTGCCGCCCACTTGGGATGGCCAAAATGATCAAGCTAAAACCCGACTTGGGAGGCGGCGCTTTACTTCATTGCCAGAGACGGCGCGGCAGTAGCCAAGCGCGGCTTAGGCTCGTCGCTTCCTCGGACGCGCGCCCGGAGACGCTTTCGATTGAGCCTTCGGAGCAAGAAGCGGCATCTGCGCGGTCCGCAGCCTCTTGCTCCCGGGAGAGTAGAGGCACCTCCGCCGCGAGTGGTGCTACAACCGCCGTTTAGGCCGCCTGCACCCCCTGTCCCGCTCCCAGGAGCCGGAGGCCCGCAGAAAGGTGCGCTGGGCAGACCCGGGCTCACAGTTCGTTCGCTTCGTCGGGTCTGCAGAGAGAGAAGGGAAAGCAGGCGGAGATCAGGAAAGTCCCCGGGCCCGGGAGTCTTGGATAATTGGGCTAGGGGTACCCACCGTCGCTGCTGCTTCCCTCCGCAACGGAACCGCCGACCTGCAACGCAAGAACTTGGTGAGACCTCGAGCCGCTAGGACCGGCACTGTTGGGGGTTCAGCCGCCCCGATGCCCTCCCTCTCGCCTTCCCCGCAAAAAGGGGCGAGCCTGGCCTCTCACCCGCTTTCCTGTGTCCCGGGAAAGGTCACCAGAACCTCCCTCGCGCCCCCTCCCTCCCCGCCGCTTACTGAAGAGTATGGCGAGCCCGATCAGGAAGGCCGCCACGGCGAAGATGAGCCCCCCGTAGCGGATGGTCTCGTAGTCTGGGGAGACAAGAAGAAGCGCTCAGCACAAACGGGCTGAGCCTGCGGATGGGAGAGAAGCGGGGCGGTTACAGAATTTACCTCTGGTTGAGACCGGGCAAGGACCCCGCACTAAATTGCACCCGAGGGGCTGCTCCTCCTGAATGCCCCGGCTGGTTACTTACCAAACAAGCTGTGAATCAAACGCGCGGAGAGGGGCGGCGGATCTGAGCGGCCAGGCGAGGCGAGACTCCCCCAAGGCTTAAGGAAGGTGGCAAAAGACGCGCTAGTCTCCGGACAGCGCGGCTCGGAAAGCGGGACGGGGTCCTTTTTAACTGGATTTTTTTATTGTGTTGGAGTGTGTTCCCATATTTATTGATCTCTTATGTAAACATGTTTTATTGTGTTTTGCTCAAAGAGAAGCGATATAGAAATAAAATCAATATTTTGGGGAGGGAAAAGTCTTAGTTGTGCTCGGTCTCCTCTCAATAACCTTCTTATTATTCACAGTATAATTCCTCGGAGGTCGACCGTAGTCCGAGCAGCGCAAGCCCGTCTCCCCTTTCTCTGGAGCCCCTGCCAGGGCAGCAAAGAGGGCGGCCAATTCCCTGTACGGCCCCATCCGGGGGTCAGCCCCTTCGCCACTTCTTACCATAAGAAAATATGGCTTTCTTGGTCTCCGGCAAACTTTCTGGCGGGAACGGGAGGAGAGAAAAGAAACCAAATCAGAAGCCGGGCGGTCGCGAGGCTGGGCTTCCGAGGACTGGCCGCTGCGACCCGGGGCTCGGAGCCTTTCGCATTCGGCACCTGAAACTTTCCGGCCGGCTGGCGGAGCAACTGCGAAACTGCCGGCTACGCTGCCAAGCCGAGGAAAGGTGCGGCAGCCCAGGAGCGCTCGGGAGGCCCCACAGAGGCCCTCGGCCTGAAACCGGGCACCCGCGCCCCGTGCGTGCGGCAAGTACAAGAAAGGACCCACTTGCCCCATCGGTGGGGGAGAAAGGAGCCGGTCCCATCGCGCCACCCGGTGGTTTTGCCCGCGTCCCTCTGCGGTGCTCAGATCTCGCTGCGGAGGGGACTGGAGAGTACCTGCGCGAGGCAATAAATAGAGGGCCCGCACCGGCCCAAAGCAAGACCCCCCTCCCGCGTCTGATGAGGACGCCTCTTCTGGGGTTTTTCCAGCACTCCAACGCCCTCACCCCCCCGTCCCCCCCCCCCGCCTCTGGCCCCGGGCTAGTGTCCCCAGTGTGCACAATCCGGTGCTGCCTTAACCTATGGAGCTCTTTATTCACCCTTCCACTTGGCCATCTAGGCCCTCCAAGTGGGCTGGATCAGCAGGTCGGAGTTACTCTCTCCTCCGGCTTTCTGGCATTCAATGTTGGAGGAAGTGGGAAGGGGGGCTGGCAGTGGGGGTAATTCCTCTCCAGTTGTGAAGCGCCTGAACTACCTCCCCTTCTCCAGCCTGTCTGGAGACTGGCCAGCTCCAGCTCCATCACACGCACATTGTAATAGGGAGCAGGGAGGACAAATATCTCATTAAACATTAACCTGCTGCCCGTAATGTTTATCCAAGTCACAAGGCAAAGTCTGAGGGAGGCTCCCCTCCTTTGGAAGGGCTCAGTCTCCTTGAAAACAAGGCACAGGCCAAGGCCTGGACCACCCAAGGCTCTCCCGATTCTGCTCTGCTCCATCCTGCTGCCTGGGTGGCTGCCCGCCTCAGAATTGGCACTAGGGTTAAGGGAGAGGTTCAGCTGTGGAGGAGGCAAATAAGGGGTCCAGTTGGAGAAGCTGATCTCCATCCCATCTCTTGCCTGCCACCACCCACTCCAGAATGAGCAGAGGGCTCAGTCCTGATCTTTGGACTCAGGTCTTTCTGCCGGCATTGAGGCTGATCTCCGTCTCACAGACTGGGAATGCGGAGGCTGACCCTCTTTTGAGGAGCAGCTATCTAAGCTCCCCGCAGCCATAATATCACATTGCAGCAGTGGAGGAGGAGGAAGTGAACGGAATGTCTGCATCCAGACTGGAAACAGTCCTGGTCTCCCTGTCAATGAAGCACTTGGGGTACCCCAGAGCCAAACAGCTGGAGCGGTCTCCCACCCCAAAGCCAAAGCGTCCTCTCTTTCTGGCCTGGAGAAGTAGAGTGAGGCAGCCAGAGGGAAGGGCCAGCAGAGTTGGCCACTGCACTGTCCTTGGAGCCTCCCTCTTGGTTGGCCCTTTATTGGGGGAACCTTTCGGGTGAGCTCCTGGGCGAGGCTCCTATTCCAATGGAAGGATTTCTGACACTGGCTCATGGCTGTAAATGTTTGCTGTAGCAGTGCAGAAAGGCTTAAAACAATCAGCTGTAAACGTGGGGTGCAGGCACAGATACCGTGTTACTTGTGAACAGTCTTACCCTAGCAACCAAGTCATGTGGTTTTCGAAGTTCTCCAACATGTTTATTTTTCCATCATTTGTGATCCCCTAAAACATCTGCAATAATCCACTTAAATCTTTCAGGTGCCAGTGTGGAGATTAACCAAAGATGTGTATTGTATAAGTACGTGCAGACTGCCCTGGCAGTTGGAACACGTACGAAGTACAAATAAATGTTATCTGTGTCTGTGTCTAGCAAATCGCTAACCAGAAGGTTTGCTATTTCCTACTTGAGAAGGAAAGACAATGAGGTCTATGTGTAAAATTTTCAATAAAAGAGAGCTTACGAA